AATGCTAATGCCTATTCAGTAGTCACTTTGACTTTGTTAAGTTTGATTGAACCCTTGTTTTTTTCCACTTCATAAACTTCTTCATGTACCCTCTCCATTTCTATATTGACATATAACTTGATCTTCGGTAAGCGTCACTAAATTAATATAAAAGTGATTCCGTTCATTTCTCTTTGTACAATTTTGACAAGAAGTACAACAGCATCTCAGGAGTCAGAATGGCGTTGATGTTTGTGGTAAAAATATATGAGTTGAACTTTATGCCCTTCTGGCTGTCAGCAGGAGATATAGCAAAGAAAAATCCTTCCTCCCTTGTTTTGGTTTAAAGAAATCTGGTGTTTTTTACTTTCTAGGACAATTACCCCCTAGACAATCAACCCCCAGGGCAATTACCCCCCCCCCCCCCCCCCCCCTCCCCCTTGGAAAATTATCAATAGGACAAAGGGTGATTTCAAGTTTGATTTCGAAAGCTGGTGTTGGTGTTATGAAAACGTTTGACGATTAACACACGAACAAGTCACATTTTAGAGCATTCAGAGTATTACATAGTGTCTTTATTTTCCTCTCTGTCAATCCTAATAAATTTTATTTCAGCCTTTTCAAATTATTTATGCACTCCGATGGAGGTGGGAGGTTTCCCCACTTCTCTAGTTTTGCCAACGAGTAAAGTATAGAATTTTAATTTCTTAGAAAATTAACAATACCGGTATCTTGAGCACAGATAGGTACAAACATGTTACAGTGTGTCTTCCAAAATGGCACAACAAAGAAATGAAGGTGATGTTTAAATTCTGTAATGTCTTATTATACATGTATGCATCCTCTGTAGTTCCTCTGTTATTTCCCTACCGGTATTCAGATAATCATGTAATTGTCTTTGTTTTTCATAATCTTTTCAAAAATTAGAATTTACTTCAAGTTATGTATATTTTTGTTGATGTTGAAGTAAAAGATGTTTTCTGGAACAATAATTTATTTTGAAAATAAACTTGCCTTCAAGTTATTTACAGTTAAGCACTAAATTATTCAAACCTTTTCCAAGTTTGGCAATTCTTTAAGGGAAAGTCCACCCCAAAATAATTTTGTTTCGATAGAGGCAGAATAATAAGAAAATCAGGTGAGTGAAAGTTTGAGCAAATTCTGAATGAAAATAAGAAAGTTATGAATTATTGAAGTTGTGATCAATCAAATACAAATTGGCAACTCTGTGACTTATTATACGAGCTTCCTTCATTTGCTTTGTGCATAAATAAAATCATGTTTTCTTCGTTATTGATGACGGAATATATATTTGTTCCTTGCAGGGGAGTATAGAAACATATTTGCAATTATTATATTTAGGGTGCATGTATGGTTGAAATTTTTCTTGATGAAAATTTTAGATTTTTTTAGTACTGAGCAAATGGAAGTTGAGCTCGCATGATACGTCATAGAGTTGCCAATTTGTGTTTGATTGATCACAACTTAAAAAATCCTAACTTCCTTATTTTTAATCGAATTTGCTCAAACTTTCACTGACTTGTTTCTCTCATTTTTCTACTCCTATTAAAACTAACTTAATTTCAGGGTGGACTTTCCTTTAATACCGGTAATGTGAAAATAAATTTGTCCTGATTTATATTTCTTGAGAATGTGACATATACAAGTAACATATATACTGTATTTTTCAATTTCATTTACAATTTATTGTCCAATATTGGAAATTTGTTTTGCTCACATTTTACAAACGTACAAAAACTAAAAAGTGGGATAATTGCCTGTGGGGGTTGATATTGTCCCGCGAGTAATTGCCCTGGGGGTGATTGTCCTGATACGAAATCTGACATATGATTGGTAAGAAGGGGGCCCAGGAATTATATTGGGGAAAAAACAATGAGGATGACAATTATTTAATTTACCAAAGTATTGTGGGTGACCTCAGTATGTGCTAGTGCTAATAAGCCCAATATTGTATTGTCCATAGAAAAGTTATGACATTAGGTCCCTACAATCATTCAAATCTGTACTTTAAAGCTAGGTATATGCATTCCAATTTGGTTTCATTAATACTATACATATATTTGCCTTTGAGGAATGCTCATCTCTTTGTTCTTTTGTTTTCCTGTGTAGTGTATTGAGTCTTTGTAGTACATATTTCTTTCGACTTTGGTACATATTATGTTGAAGAACTTCTTAGCATCAAAATTAGATGTTTGTGTTAAATTTGTACTTTATTTCCAACGCTTTCATAATTTTCATTGATGAAATATGTTTGATGGCCATTGTATTCCATTCAATGAAATGTCACCTGTGTATAATATTATATTCATTTTTGGTTTTACATGTGGAGTTATCCAGTATAGCATCAATATGAGATCATGGAAAATTATTTTGTTCTTACCACTTGAAAAGAAGAAGAAACAGGTATAACTGAGTTATATGTTTAATTTTGGGTAATTTTTCCCTTTGATACAGTAATGATACATACGGATATGTAACTGTGCATTAATTTGTGGAAATATGATGTATTGATGCATATGCAATTTTGCATGTATTTGGTCAAACTTATCTAGTGATGTATTAAGTATATTTGCCATATTAAATAAACAAACGAACAAAAAATCTGGAGAAAGAAAACTACATTGTAGACCCAGGTAATAAGATGTGAACATTAAAATATGCATTGTACCTGTATCAGGGCCCACACTTCATAAAACTTTACTAAGCTTTACTAAACTAATAGACCGGTTTACTAACATATTCACATTTATGCAGACCTGCCAACCAGTACGATTTAGTCGTATTTAGTACGATTTTTAGAAGCAAATACGACAGTACGATTTTCCTGAATAAAATACGATTTAAAAAAAATATTTAAAAAAACGATTTTTTTTTTTTTTTTTTTTTTTTTTTTTTTTTTTTTTTAAATAATTTTTTTGTTGGTATTTTATGTGTGTGTTAGCCATTTTCAATGACAAAATGCCCATTCTGTGCTGTAAAGTATCCTACAAGCATCTCATATCGGCAATTTGGGGATGTTCATTGATTCATCGAACACAACAGTCGTGACGAAATCATGCATATTCAACAAATGATCCATAAAAAAAATTGATCCGCGTAACAGTCCGTGTTTATTTTTAAGAATACAACTTCTGTCAGTAAAATACAACTTTTGGCATTAAAGAATACAGTTTTTGAACTCCAGAGGTTGACAGGTCTGTTTATGGATGTTTCTTGCCTGGGGACCTAGTGATGAGTTATTCCATTAACACGTTATTAATAAATGAACTACAGTTCTTTGAATCTAGTCAACATACATTACGTGTTGCTATGTCGGGCAAGCTTTCAGATTGTCAAAAACAACCTTTGTTGAAAAAGGTGTGCATTAAATTTGAATACATGTTAGTAAACCGGTCTATTACATAGGGGATAGTAGGCCTACATGCTTGACAACTAGGCTTAATAAGATTTTATGAATTATATAAGCCCAGGGGGGTGTTTCATAAAGATGTTCGTAAGTTATGCACGACTTTACGCACGACTGGAACATGTTCTTCGGTGCTAATCAGATTCTCAATCATTTACATGTAGCACAAGAACTTATCACCAGTCGTGCGTAAAGTCGTGCGTAACTTATGAACAGCTTTATGAAACACCCCCCAGGAAGATAATTTATCCCAGTTCAAACATTGTAAAAGCAAAGAAGCTGTCCATCTCTAATTTGGTGCCTTCAAAGCTGTATATTATCATCTTGTGTCGTCAGCAGCAGCTAGATCATCAGCAGCTAGATGTTGATTTGTATGTGTATATCAAGTCATGAAGAGGGCCATTAAAACCTCATTTATTTTTAATGTCGAAAAAGAATATAGCTTGTGAAGCGTTTTTCTTTCATGTTGATGTATGCAGTTTAATTCGGGCAGTTATAACTTTCATCCAAGCTATGCACTAATTATATAATTTTATATCATATTTCGTCGTTCGAAATTACATGAGATCCCGCCAAGCGCATTCGCAGTCAATTCGCCGCGCAATTGATTTTTACCGGGAAAGTAATTTTCCCTCAGGTCCGAAGAATGTTATACCCCTTGCCAGTCAATATCTGTTATATTAGATAGCGTGGTTTGAAAATGTAGGGGGGGGTTCATTTTTTTTTTGCCAGATATTTTTCCTTTTTTTTTTCCAAGCATTTTTTGTTAAAAAAAAATGTGGAAAAATAATTTCAAGGGGAAAAAAATTGACCCTCAAATTTGGTGTAATTGGTGACATACAGTCCTCAGAGGGCGACATGCATTGATTAAAAATATATTTATTTCCCCAGCTGGTGAATATAACCATCAAAAGTGACCGGCCAGGAAAATATAACAATTACGATCCTCTCAATTGATATCACGTGACGAGCTCTGGACCAATCACATCTCGGATTCTCGGTATACCCACTAAACTCAATATATTTGGACCATGAAATCTTGTCTTTCCACTTGAAAGTCGACATGATGATGGGAAAAATGGTACAGGGTGTATCAATGAAAACAATGAAATGGGAAAGGTTGAAAATCCAAGACTCGTTATGATATGTGAAACAAGTTTTTGACCTCTTTGGACCCATTTAGTGTAAGCCTTGGTATATGTGTATGATTACAATTACAGTTGTAATTAGAGTTGTGATTGATCAAAATTGATGAATTGGAAGTCTGTTAACACAATATTTACTTATTTGAGACTTAAACCAAAAGAATTCATGAATTCATAGAAAATTACCTATTTTGCAAAAAAAAATACAATCTCTATCAATGTAAACTTACAATTACAAATTGCACAATATTAGGGATAATAGCAACCTCTCAAACAAGGTCTTGAATTAAATTCACAGGAAAATAATTTTCCTCAAGTTATTACACTTGATCATTCCATTCACGCACAAAACAAAAAATCAAACCAAACAAAATCAGAAACAGCAACCTCTTAATTTGCATACATTTATAAGTTTAACCACAGCATATGAAGGCAAGTTGACAACATCATTACATTTTTTTCCTTTTATTCAAAGAAGACAAAATATGCAGCAAACAATGACAATATGAATACATATTGATAGAATGAATACATATTTTGATGTAATAAATTTATAAATATTGCATGTTTATAAAAAAAAAAATGCCACAGTTCATATATATACAAATCATTAATTATATGATTGCAAATGAAAAATGGAAATATATGCATAGTGTGAACTATTAAAAATGTCAATCGCTTGGAAAAAAAGTACCAGTCACGAATAATACTACATGTACATGTATGTTCTTATATAGATAATCACCTCGGCACACACTTTCACGCCCACCTATTTTCAGAGAGATCAACACCAGCAATAGCAGTAGTGAAACATTTGGAATCTGTTCTGATATACCCAAACACAATGACAGCCTAACTTCTAAATACCGGTTGGAGGAAATCAATCATGTGTAAGCATACTTAGTTGTGTTAAGATGTGTTTTTTTTAATAATAATTATTATATTATACACAACGCCCTGTCCATCCTGATTAACTATGCATTCTCACATGGCAAGTATTTTTCAAAGTGCACAAGGCATTGTAAATGAGAAATGAAGTCAATACAGAATGAACATAGACTGTGAAACTATTTACATGTACATGTACCTACTAGTAATAGTATTGAGGTGGAGTATTACACATACAAAAGTGGCGACGCTTGCATAGAATTATTAATGTATGTATACATCCTATCGTGGAAATTACGGAAAGCACCAAATCATCCAAAACTCTTTCATTCATTAACCTAAAATGAGTCTATATGATAAAAGAATATTGAATTAGATGCACAATATTAATACTTGGATACAAATGCATCATGGTTTACAAAAGTAATGCATGTATAACAAATCAGAAATTTATAGAGAAAATATTCAAAATTTGCTTGGGTACCAGTATTTGATAATAGGCAGTCTTCAATTAAAATGAATACAACTAACCAAATCTTCTTCAAAGATGTTTATTCGCACTGTCCTATTTGCAATAAAATATTGAATATTGCTTGATCTATTTTTAATCAGCCCAGTACCAGCACTGCTTTGCCATATTCCAAACGGTGGAAGTTATCACTTCATTCATCACTGATAAGAAATTCATAAATCATGGTGCTCAAATGTCAGTCAGATCTCAAGTTTTCTTGGGATTCCAAAGTTTTTTATTCATTATTAGTCTTTTACTACAACAATTAATGGACAAACAAACTCAGAATGTCTAATCCCAAGTGAATGGCTGGGATATTTCCTCTTGTTAACAGTCACCTTTTCTGGGCTATGTGCTCCTGGACCTGGTTTGGTAGCAGAGTCGTTTGCTAAATCATGACGCCCGAGCATGGAGTAACTGGGCTTCTTGAACTTTGTGACATCAGGATGGATGGCATCGTGACTGCCTGGCCCAGGGCACTTGGCATGATCTTCTAAGTAGCTGCCCACATGGGGGCGTCCTGTCATGGAGTGACTGGCACTTGAATACTTGTTTGGAACTTTGCTTCCAAGGAGGACGGGTAAGTCGTAACTGTTTGGAGCTGGGGCTTGATCTCGTTTCCTGAAGCGCGTGCGGGACCCCATGGAATGTACAGGAGCATGTCTTTCACCCTGTGGATGAACCTTTTCAGGAGAATATGCATAAGGTGATGGTGTGATGAATGTATCTGTAGAAGGAAAAAATAGAAAAGCAAACAAAAATGATTAAAAAAATATTCTACTTTTTAAATGACATTAACAAGAACAATTCTACACTTATCAAATATAACAGTAATTAGAGATCTATAGTTTTCAAACTTAAATACATTTCTCCAATTTCAGTTTCAAGGCCAACCATTTATCTTTGTAAAAATGAAGAAAACAAACAGGTTAATTTTTTTATTTTTAAACAGAATGTTAAGTTAAATGAAATACTGTCAGTATACAAAGATACTGAGATGAAAGAAATTCATAGAACTTGTACAAATGACCCTTTGTAAATATCCATCTATCTTTTTGACATTTACACATGGAGACGACGTCCCACTTGGTGCATTTTAGAATAATCACTGCCAAGGTGATGGAGGTGCTTAATGGATATATTTTGTTTGCTTTCTTGAAAAGAATACTTCCATCTGGATATCATTCATACAATGTACCATCGGTGCATTTAATGAATCAACAAATATGATTTCACTTTCATGAACATGAATATGTAGAATCTACTTACTTGGATCCTTTTGCCTTGCAAGCATGGAGTAAGCTGGAGTACCATCTTTTCCAACCCTTGTGATTTCTGAATGAATTTTGTAGCCGGGTCCAGGACTGCAATCTTTTTGAAACACTGCATTGGGGAATAAATCCAAAAATTAATATACATGTAATATAAAACAAACTAATCACTGTATACAATGCAGTTCAATTCAAAGCCACTGGAAATACAGATGTAAATGTAATGAATTAAAGAATATGGAAAAGGCAATCAACACAAAATTTAAACAAAATTAAAATAGAAAATACTTGAAAAAATTAAAAAGGCTTTAAAAAATAATAATTAAACAACATTTGAAAGATAGACAAAAATAAGATACTTACTTGAGTTCTCCAAGCGATGCCCAAACGAATATGCTGGTTTCATGTGTTTGGTGAAGTCATGAGCAACAAACCCACTCGTTGATGGAAGACCATATCTTCCTGGTCCGGGACCTAAGATTACAAAATGAAAGGTAGATTCAAAATATAAATTGCATAGACTCTACAATGTACATGTAGGGTCTACATAAAAAAAATCAAATAGTCAATTGATGCCTGAATACAGAAGTTATATCTGCCATTAAGTTGATTTAGACCTAGTGTCTACTAAGTAGTCTAATACTAGACTAGTTTAAGAAGTTACTAACAATAAATCTACTTTCATTGAAAGTTTATGAACTAACTTGTTATATAATATAGACTAGAGGTCTAGTCTAGATCTAGACTTCTCTAGGTTAAGGCTCATGGAGTTTTGATAACAATAAAGTCAATATGACAATAATAACATTCCTAAAGTAAAACAATAAAGACTCAGGTAGGATATTAAACTAGGGTCTAGACTAATGTTTTTCGTTCAATCTGAACAGTGAAGGCAAAAGAGATCAAACTTCGAAGGCTTTAATCCTGCTTTATCATTAATATTTTTGTTTAGCGTCTGGACACCCGACCCCCAATCATAATAAAATTGTTCAACATTAAACTAATAAGTCTTAGAAGATTTATGAAATATATTGCTTAGATCTATTAAAGTTAGACTTCTTCAAATTCCTGTTTTAAATCAACTGTCTTTGTCTGGATACAATTACAAAACTTGTCCGGGCACAATGTCTGGGTAAATATGCTCGCGTACTAGCGTAGCCGTAGAAAATTATCAACTTACCACGCTCACGAGCAGCAATAATAGGTTTCTCTGCCGATTTTTTTGACTTTGCTGACATCGGTTGAGCATATGGAGAATCATTCATGTCCCGTTTCTTTTGCTTGGTCTTTTCTTCTTGCTGAGACATGATTTCAGATCAATTCGAGCAGTCTTGAAGAAATGTTTTAACACATGTGATACTGCCGATAACCTGCTGAATAATGACGGTATCTTATGTGATGTTATGGCTTATGCCCTAGATACGTGCACACGGTACGAGTTTACTAGATACCGTTGTGAATACACGCTCCAACTCCACAACAAAACAACGTAAACAATACAAGTTAGTTGCGCGTGGTGCGGTGGTGGTGGATCAGCTGTCCGTTGCTAAGACGCAACATGTCTTATCAGCAGCCAAGCGAGGGCGCTAGAATTTATAGCGCCATTCGCGACAAGATCTTGAACAGCTGTTTTAATTTAGGACAGTAGATGGCGGACTAACAATTTTCTAGACTGAAAACTTAACTATGTACAATTTTAATCTGATCCTTATAATGTACACATATATATCGGCGACTTAAAATCGAACTCGAATGACCGGTTGAATGTGATTGAATACCTTGCAATTACCAGGAAACAAGCAAGATGTCTGACGGGGAGGACGATTTTATGGCTGACAATGACAGTGATGATTACAATTTAGTGAGTGAATATGTAATTTAATGTTTACAATGCTTACATTTTAGACGATTTTACCCCACGTGGGAAGGCCAGGTAGATAAATCTTGACTGCTCCGAACCAACATTCAACAATACTGATCCTAGCTTGGCCCACACCGGGGGCCGGGCCCACACATAGGTACATTACTATCCTGGCTGTGTATTAAAACCTGTTCTACGTACTTACTTACTTGCTTGGTATACTTGGTAGATTAGCTCTCTTTTCCTAAGGGAAGGGCTCTCAATTGACTCTTCAAAGTCGCCACTGTAGGTGCAGACGAATTCCAGACAACTCTTCACAAAGACAACCCGCCCCAAGGTGTTTTAATTTTGACAAACAGCTCTACGTGCATATCATAGGGTACCCTTAGGAGTCTCGCCTTTCGTTACTCTGGCTGGACAACTCGCCACGGGCGTTGTCCAGCGGTGGGGTGCCTTTTTCAGTTCCACTTACCACTCGTAATCAGTTTAATACTTTTTTTATGGGTCCGGAATCCATTCATGGATTTCGATTTTGACTACCCTGGAGTCACAAACTCTGGCTGGACAACTCGCCACGGGCGAGTTGTCCAGGGTGGGGTGCCTTTTTGGACAACTCTACACTGATTTCTAGATCAATCATCTTAGAAATTTGTCATTTTATGTAGGGTCTAGACCTCTAGGGTCTAGCCTCTAGGCCTATTCATTATTCTTTTATAGATCTAAACACAGTCATTACAAAGAATAAAGAATAAAGAATATTCCTACCATTAAAAAGTTTCCTGAGACAGAAAAATGAACTTAAAAATCGAGAAGTTATTCGGCGATCATAGTCGTAAGCCTTGGGTTTGTCCAAAATCTTGTTGCAGGTCTTATTGCAAGCGCAAGGAAAATCAACTTTATCATCAGTTAGAACAGCCTCGCCCCCCCCCCCCCCCCCAACTCCGGGGTCGGAATGACCGCATGCGTGTTACCAAAATATCCGGTAAAGGGGTACTTTTCGTCCGGCCCGAGAATTGTAAAAAAAGGGGTGTATTTGACTTTTCACCCGGAGATTTCTTTAAAAAGGGGGTTATTTTTTTTTCTCCTTCTCATCTGTTTGGACTCCTGAGAAATTATTCTGAATTTAGGGGGGTACATTGAGCATTTTTCCGGATTTAGGGGGGTCTCGAAGGCAGGAAAACCCCGCGAAAACCTGCGAAAGGGCAGTCCTCAAATAGGGGGTGCTTTCAAAAATAGGGAACAAGCATATGCGTACCCTAAGTAACACTGAGTGGGGGGCGGGAGAACAGCTCTCAAAATACTCACAATTCCCATGTTTCCTGTCATGACTGTGTTTATAAAAGAATAATGAATACATAAAATGACAATTTCATCTAATATGAGGGGTTTTAGATCTAGAAATCACGAGGGAAAACAGTGTGGCGAGTTGTCCGAAAAGGCACCCCACCCTGGACAACTCGACCATGGCGAGTTGTCCAGGGTATTGTGGCGAGATGTCCAGGGTATTGTGGCGGGTTGTCTTTGGGCGGGTTGTCTTTGTGGCGAGTTGTCTGGACCCCGTGCAGACACTACTTTTTTTGGTAGGTTATTCGGCGCTTGTTCAGAAACGTATAGATCTAGGCCTACAAAAATTGACCGGTAACTCCGGCGTGGAGATACGCTACTAAGATATATCCAAAATGAAGTAAATATTCATTAAATGTCCAAATAAAGATCATGAGTTAAAAGTCGTTATGTTAATTAATAATTACCTGTTTCATGTCAGTTTTCTCGTTATTTTTGGAGTATTTTTCGGATAAACGTTGATGTTAGTTTACACCTTTTCACAGGTTTCACGGCAAACCGCGCCGCTGCACAAAACAAGTACAGATGGTGGGTTGCGGGCGGGTGTGCGCCTGTGTGAAGTTATCTACCGTAATGTCTCAGATCCTCATTACGGTAGATAACTTCACACAGGCACACGCCGGAGTTACGAGTTAAATTTTGGATACATTTCTAAACAAGCCCCAGTTATTCCAAGGTTGGACCACTCTGTTAGAATAAAAGTCTTTTCTAGAATGCCCTATTAATTTCTTACTTTGGGTGGGAGAAGAATCTTTGTGCTGGAGTTGTGTAATAACCATTAAGGTATTTGTACAAATTAGTAAGGTCTGTGTTTGCTCTTCTCTCCTTCAATGACTCAGTAGGAATTTCCTTGTTACCAAGACATAGGCATTTGGTCTGCACCTTCTTTAACTTCTCAATATTCTTCTTTGTAAGTGGGCTCCAAGCAGATGATGCATATTCCAGCGCTGGACGAATTATGGATTGATACAAAATGGTGATTTTCCTTTCATCAAGTGCAGTGAAACAGCGTCGGAACATTGCAACCTTACAGCGAGCCTTTTTAACTAGTTCATCAACATGTTCGGTAGGGGTGAGGGTATTGCTAATTATAACTCCCTAGTCCTTTTGGTTTGCCACTTCCTGCAGATGAACACCATTGATAGAATAATTGTAGATAATAGCTGCTCGGATGCGCAGGACAACACATTTTTCAGCATTGAATTCAAGTAGCCATAGTTTAGACCACGGTGGCCAACCCACGACCCGCCAGCTCTTCTGGTGTGGCCAGCGAAGCATTGAAAAAGTAATCATAAAAAATAGTCCATAAAAAAAATGCGGGCCGCATAGCAGCGATGAAATAGGGTATACACAGCTATTTCTATTTCCTTAATTTGTTTTCATCCTTCACAACCTATTGACTTGTTACGTGGTTGATACAAAACTCCTCAAATTCCCTCTCATTACATTACAATAACGACATTAAATTCACTCGCCGTGTTTATTTCAGTTTGTAATTTCCGTATGCAGTAACGTTTGTAAATATGGAGCTATTAACATTGTACACACCTTCTAGAAATCTTTGTTCTAATAAGAAAAAATTGTTTGTTATTCCACCAGTGATGACCAGGTCATATGGTGAACGCAGCTTCGCTCACACTGCTTCAACTTCATGGAACAATCTCCCGGAAAATCTAAAAAACATTGACTCCATTGTTAAGTTTAAGATTGCTTTAAAGGCGCACTTATTTAACATTTAATTCATCCATTTTGTCTGTTACCCAGTACGTCTTGTCTTTGTATTCTGTTGTGTTTTTCTCTAGAGCGCTTAGGGACATGTTTTAATACTATGTGTTATGCGCTATACAAAAACAGTTAATTATTATTATTAAGAAATATGTTTGAAATGCCATACACCCCTGTACTTGTATTGAAACTTACAACCCTTTTATCCCAACGTTGAATTTTCTCATGAATCTTAATCGTAAACTGGATTGTCCCCTCCCCTATACACCGCGTACAATTAGATGTACATGTTCAACAAATAAAGTTAGGGTATTCTTTACGCTGTGTCCTTGATTTTGTGTGAAATAATAACCAAAAATGGCATCGACTTCGAGATCTGCGAAGAAAAGGGAAGTTTTTGATGAAGGCAGAAACTTTAAATCAGATTGGTCTCTGAACTATTTCTTCATGGAAGAGAAAGGGGAACTACTTTGGCTTATTTTTCACCACAAAATCACAAAAAAAAAGTAAGCCTGATTTTGTTGTTTGCATGTTTGTTTTTGCAAAATTGCAGGTGGTACACATTATTGCATGCGTGTGTGTGTGTGGGGGGGGGGGTAAGACCCCTAGGGGTGCTCACATATGAGGACATACGGGGGTGTGCCGCTCTAATGGGTCACTTTTTCACAAAAAATCCCTAAACATGAGTCCCACTTTTAACAAAATTATTATACCATAAAAAATGGGTCCCTTTTTCAAAATTTTCAAAACTTTTGGGTGTTTGCCATGAAACACCCTCAAAATACCTGAAAATTGTGAAAAATGGGTCTTTTTTCGAGAAAAATTATCCCTAGAAATGGGTAGGGGTTTCGGAGCTTGAGCACACCCCCGTCCAATCCAAATCTGAGTACCCCCCCCCCCCCACTACCCCCACTACCTACGGCCCGCCAAGTTGATGCGATCGTTAACTGTGGCCACCCGTGGTTTAGACCATGCAGCGAGTGCATTTAAGTCTCTCTGTAGTTTGTCACAATCATCATTTGATGTTATTTGACGGTTAATCTTGGTATCATCAGCAAATATCTTGGCAGTAGTGAGAACCATATCGGGAATGTCATTAATGAAGATTAGAAAGAGGAGCGGCCCGAGAATGGACCCTTGCGGCACGCCGCTTGTCACGGACCTCCATCTTGAGGTGCCGTTTCTTAGCACTACTCTTTATCTGCGTCCAGTTAGGAACCCCTCAATCCAATTGAGAATGTGTCCACTGATACCATTGTGCTTGAGCTTGTATAGCAGTCGACGATGGGGGATGGTATCGAATGCCTTTCGAAAATCAAGATATATGACATCCATTCCTTTAGTCTCGTCATATGCTTTAGTCCAGTCATAGAGACATTCCAAGAGCTGTGTAACACATGAACACTTTTTCTGAAAGCCTTGTTGGTGACATGAAATCATATTGTCTACTGCATGTTCCATCAGTTTGTCGTAGATTATTCTCTCAAGAAGCTTTACCACTTCTATTAACACAACTGTACAAAACTCAACTGATTTCACTCAAAATAGGTACTTAAAGGGAGTCACACGTCGGTTTCCATGTGCAGAAGGCTATAATTCGCTGACACCAGACTTGGTGGAAATACCATTAATGGGAGTACAAATTTATACACAGCAAACCCGTTGGCCAGTCAAGAATTCCCCCTAATCTCTCGGAGAATACTTGAGAGTCGATCGGTTAAGGGAAAAGCAAAGCATTACATAAGGTCTAATGGTCACAAAACTGAAGGTTAACCCTGGTGATTGACAACACCTGTTATTGGGTAAACCCCCGAACGGTGTCGAATTCCCCATGAGAGCTGACTACTGAGTGTCTTTAAGTGACAATCGATTACACCTAAATAGCAGTAAAATACAATTTTTTCAACTTACCAATGTTAGAAAGAATAATTTGAAAATTCAAATCGTGAGTCTATCTAGTACTAAGTAGTCTAGGCCTAGACCTACTAACACTGTCAAACTGTTACAGCCACATCAACATCGTTGTGTGCATTTGTGTATTCTTCTTTTTCCTGAAAAGTGCAGGCTTCATGAAATGAAGATTAACGCACTGTGGACATCTATTGAAACTAAAACGGTCAGTTTTTGCAGGTTTAGGGTTAGGGTTAGGGTAAAATGACAAAAACTGACAAATTTTGCAGCTGGGCCGCGTTGTCAATTGAGCCGAGTTAGCCTGGATTCTGTAGGTTGATGCACGCACAGTCAATAGTACGTATATCTAGACAAGAGTTCCTGGTGCAGGTGTGTACATTGTATCGTGATGTGCGGATAAAAGTAGCTTGTCTGCATGCTAGACGGTGCCATCCTTCAATGCCGCTTTAAAGGCATCGAGTGAGAGAAACTATCTTAGGTCTTTCTTCAGAGAATTCTATTCTTTGCTGGTGCGCCGGTGAAAGAGGGAGGAAGAGTACACTTGGGAGCTGCAGTACAGAGTCCAGAAACGTGAGCCATCTTGTGATCGACGTAGATTCAGTGAGATGTTGTTTTCACTTGATATCTACCAGGTCCCAGCGGATTCTTCAGAGCATAGCAAGTCGACTCTGGCAGCACCTACTCTGGAGAGTTGGCCATTCAGTGTAGATCATTCAGTAATGCTGTTACGCTTGATCTGCTGTCATATCTTGCACTGCTTCTTTGGACCTGCTCTAGCTTCCTGATGTTTCGTTGTGTATGTGGGTCCCATGCAGTTGTTGCAAACTGCACTATTGGCCTCACACATCGGTCTTGTATGTTGCCTCTTTAATCTTGTGACTGCAGCTGTTGAAGTTGCGTTGAAGAAGAGCTCGGTTGTAGTTAGCCTTCTTGGTTGTGATGTCAACACGTGTAGTAGAGGACAGCTTTTTGTCAACGTTTAGTCTGAGATACTTGGCAGAGTGAACTTCATTAAGGATCAATCCATGGGTGTAGTAGGTTGAAGATGTAGGCTTGCGTTTGTTTGTTATGCAAACAACTTGGCACTTGGAAGGATGGAACTCCATTAGCCACTTTCTTTCCCACTTCTGCAATGCATCTAAGTCGTCCTGAAGTAGTGCAGCATCCTGAGGTGATGTGTTTCTCTTGTAGACTGCACAGTCATCAGCAAATAGTCTTGCTGTGGAGCTCTTAACGCAGTCTTGGAGATCGTAATTGTATGCCAGGAAGAGAAGTGGTCTGAGGACGTTGCCTTGCAGAACTCCAGACGTAACCTCTGCCTGTGTGCTGACTTGTCCATCTACCAGAACTTGTTGAGTTCGTTGACTATTATAAGTGTATTGACTATTCATGTGTGCAATTGCTGCCTATTAGCTAGAGGTCAATACGCATTAGCATTGACTCTCTATGCTTTGCTGGAGTGGCTTGGCCTGGCCATCAAGACAAATCACACAGTCACACCCATCATGCTCAGTCATAGCATGATTACACAGTCACTGTCTAGTCTAGTCGCGACAGTAACTTACCTTGTAGTTACTTATCATTACGTGCATTAAAATGCATTGCCATTGCTATCTGAATATTAGATCTAACTGTAACAGTTGGACACATTGAATGACTAGTGCATAGTGACAGTTAAAACAAATGCTTCGAAGTCTCTGATATCGACGCTTGTTCCGCTGAGATTGCATCTGTCTCCTCTGACCGCCTCTAGTCTACCGTATTTGCCGGCGTAAAGGCCGCAGTATTTTTGGAAGAGAAAATATCAAAATTCGGGGTGCAACCATGAAACACAGCACGAATTTGTACATATGGGACAACATTGAAAGGGGATGGACATTTCTAGAATAACTGTCTAGAATAACACGTCTTACCGACAATTATGTGTTATATTTTTTAAATGAAGGGCAAAGTTTTGTCATTCTCGTAATAAAATTCATAACTTACCAACCAAACTCTACTGGTAGAACTAGATTTAAGTTTTGCCATAGCTAAAGCAACCTCAATCCTCTCGCTCGCGCGAGAAAAGCTATAGCGCAATACCCCAGAGAAAGCTGCAAGGGATAGCATCACGGTCGGGATGGCCGAGCGGTCTAAGGTGGTGATTTGGGTTGCATCTACATTTCTATGGGTGGGTTCATATCCCGCCTCCGACATTTTTTTTTTTTTTTTTTTTAATGACAAAATCAGGGGTGCGGCCTATGCGGCGCTGCAGCCTTATGGCCAGCAAATACAGTATTCATAGACTTAAGTACGTCCTATGGGGTACTGTTCAGTTCGGCCGGACCGAGACAAATGAGATATGCAACAAGTTTTTCACTCTTTACGTCTTCATATATCCACTTCGGCTGCAATATTACACTAAATCTTATTAAAAATTAAAAATAACACGAAAATATTTTCTTCTTCTTCTTCTTTGGGTTAAGTCTACCTCCTTCACAGTTGAAGATTCTTGCAGTCTGATGTGTATGTGTGTGTTTACGAGAGCCAGGGGCATGGTGCAATGCTATTAAAATGGTGCAAGTAAAAAGTTTCCGGACTAAGTTGAGGCCTCCCGTCAGGCATTGGCGGAAGGCATTCGCGGATGGCTTGCTCATTTAGATCCTAAATTAATGATTAATCTGAGAAAGTCTTGTAGTCAACATGATTTGTTGTCGGCCATCTTGGTTTGAGTTGATGAATAATCATTTTTTCTTTTCGAACGTCCAATAGCTACGTACGAGTCAGCCTGGCTTGACCAAGTGATATATGAATATGCATAAACCCAATATTGAACAAGTGCTCTGATTGGCCATTGGCTTTATCTTGGTAAGTTGACCCAGAAATATACCAGCCGGGTCACGTTATAGATTACCAGTTCGAATGCATGAACTTACCGTTTCAATACAAATTGGATAACTCGTATAAAGTAAGTCCGTAAATTTCGCATTTGGAAATATAAAAACTTTGATAATTGTACTAGGGTGTCTGAACGATTTTTCAATTTTCCCTTTGGGATCGTTTTTCACCATTATGGTTGGATAATAAGCCAGGTCACAGTTGCAGTTTGTATTCATTATTCATTATTCATTCATGCACAAAGTGCACTCCATGATACACAGGTGGAAGTATTCTTAAAAAAAGGGGAAACAAAGGCTATTTATGAAGCACCTCCATCGCTGTAGGAGTGATTATTTCAAAATGTACAAAGTGGGATCTCTTCATGTTTTGAAGTTCTGTGGATATTCGGGGTCATTGCAGAGATGTGCTAATCGTGAACTGTCTATTGAAGAAAAAATTACTCAGAATAATACATTTCAATTTCAAGACTCACCGATGTTTCTATCAAAAGATACAGCCCCCTAAAATTTAGGCAATATTCATCCAATTTTTGTCAGAGTCAACGAAAAAGACGTACATGCAGAGTTATTTTGTTTTGCTAAATTTAAGCATTGGGAATGGGGAATCTTGACAAATGTCAGTTTTATTAAAGAATGACCCATACATGTACCAGACTGTTATTTCTGTCTAAAATGACAGTGTACATGTACATGGCCCTGTTTTGTTTCATATAATGGGTTATCCGATGTCGATGACATTGTCAATGACATTGGCAGTAATTTGGCTGTTCGCAGATGATGCCAAGCTCCAAGTAAAGTGTTGGTAATCAATTAATCATCCTAATGAGTATCGATTGTTTCAAGAAATTGCAATACACGGTCATCCTGTGTTTTCTGAAGTAATCGTTGCATCAACTCCTAGTCCTAGCTACCTAGAGCGACAAACAATTTCAATTCACCACCCAAATTAACCTGCATATGTTGTTATATAAAATAACAAAATAAAATCTTACTTTACAAGATTTTTTCAAATACGTCTTGTGCTAGCTACATTTAGTCTAGCATCATGTGTGCTGCCCGGTGTGAAAGTACATACTGCACTACTTATAGCTACTTGCGCCCTCTATAGCAAACAATAACAACGCTGACCATGTAGAGATTAAGTTGCTGACTACCATTAATCAAGTCCATTTGTTTATACGTGCAGTTGTTAAAAAGAAGAAGCGTTAACCCGTATGTGCCAAGCTACACGGCCTTTAACACCCAACTTACAAACTCATTTCAGGAAACCATCAATAGAATTAGCCTTAAAGAGAAGGTTGAGTTCTGGGGAGAGGTGAAAAATAACTTGTGAGCGTTATCATTGTTATTGTGCAAGTGTGCCAATTACCTAACGATAATGCATGGAAGTATGACATTGTATATTATTTGTATCAATCAGAGGATATTCTTTGTCTTTGTTTTCTTATGTGAAGATGAGATCTTCTCATGGAAATTTAAGTATTTTCATTATTGTTTGTTTTTTAACAGCCCTTGTAGAGCATTTCAGTTCAGTCACTTCACACTTGATATTCTCTTTGTTGAAATCTAGAATCCATTGACTCTGACTCTTTGGCTTCTTCCATTATCAAATATGTTCACAAGCTGGTCTGGAAAATCAAGAGTTTTTACAATGTAACAGTCTGCATTAAATTTAAACATATTTTTTCTCTTTGTTTTTAAAAAGGAATATTCTGAAGACACCAATTCCGAGCCAGATGTAGACCTCGAGAACCAGTACTACAACTCCAAGGCATTGAAAGAAGATGATCCCAAGTCAGCACTAGAAAGTTTTCAAAAGGTAAGATTTCTTGATACTTTGGATTTTCTATTTGTGCCCAAAAAACAGAAATATGATATAATGATCTGGCCTACATGTATTATTAAATCTAATATTTTATTCAATATTCATAAGTATTCAACATCATTCAGCCTTTTCTCAAGATTTCTTTCTAGGAATTTGCACATCAGTGTTAATGGTAATACAATTTAAGCAGCTTTACATGAGTGCCCAGGAAATTCTGCAGATAACATTATACAATTTCATATGAATTCCAAGTTTACTATAAACGAAACCAGCTTTTCTTTCATAGGAGTTTTTGTAAATTTGTTTAGGTATGGAATAGAGAGGCAGTTCTGATAAATTTTATCTGACAGACACACTTGAATGACTGAAATGTCAAGCTCCAGTCCATTTGCATGCTGAGTAGTTGTAAGAAAGCTTTAAAAGGAAAGTCCACCCTTATATTAAGTTTATTTAAATAGAAGCAGAAAAATTAGAGGAACAAGTCGGTGAAAGTTTTGAGCAAATTTTGATCAGAAATAAGAAAGTTATGAATTTTAGAAGTTGCGATCAATCAAACACAAATTGGCAATCTTGCAAGCTCCTCTCCAAATTGCTCTGTACATTGTACATAAAATTTCATGAACTTTAATTTTCTTCATTATTGATGATGGAGTAGATTTTTCTCATACAGAGGTTGAATACAAACATATTTGTAATAATAATATTAAGAGTGCATGTATGATTGAAAACGTTAGAATTCTGCCTTTTTTAGTACAAAGCAAAAGGGAGGAGAGCCCGCAAGATACGTCACAGAGGTTTTCAACTTCTGTTTGATTGATCATAACTTTCTTATTTTCAATCAGAATTTGCTCAAACTTTCACTGACCTGTTCCTCTCATTTTTTTGCATCTATTAAAACCAACTTAATATCAGGGTGTACTTCCCCTTTAACCCTATCATTTCAAAAGCTCCTTTGAAGGGCATAGAGAGGTTATAATGTGATATGGGCTACCGGTATACAAGAAACGGAAATTATTATTATTATTCTGACTTGTTTTGTCAGTTGAGCTTATATTAGAGATACTGATGTACTTTCATACAAACTTCTGAATTAGAGTTTATTCAAATTTCTTGCATAATAAATGAGAAGTTGTAACCAAAGAATATTAAAATAAATATTTTGAATATCTTATTCAAACAACAATCAATGTCTATGCTTCATTTCAAGTCAGTGGATACTTTATTTCTGAGATTTTTGTGATTTTTTTTTTTTAAATCAAGAAATATGCAAACGTATATGTACATGTACATGTAGCTCATTAGTATGTGCATAATCAAAATAAACTGATATTGTATCACTTAATGAACTGCATATGTAGGCTTGTTGTTTATAAGTTACTGTTTTGCATAAAATCAGGCATTTGATTTTCTCAATCTTCAAGATTCCTTTTTTTAGGGGGATGTGAAGATGACCCCCCCCCCCCCCCCAAGTCATAATGAGCTCTTTGAAAGCCCAGTCAGAATAAGGTTAAGTCATATCATTAACTATGATCTTCATTTCAATGTTAAAGTATCTTCTGTTTAGCCATTTATAAATCTCAGTGATGTAAATAGAGAACCTGACCTACATGTACATGTACATGTACATCATTGAATTAGCAGAATCATTATTTTGAAATATTTTCCAATTAGTTTTGAACTTTTAGTTCATCCTTCTGATTATTAAATCATGTGTAGTAGCATGCTCCAATGGAATATGTGTAACATGAACTTGTCTATAAACAAAACAGGTGATAATTATATGGATGAACTCACATAGCTTTTGAGAGTCTGGATAATCCATTTTCAAATATTATTAAGTTTTTACCCTATGATTACATTTGCTTTTTCATTTAATCTAAGAGTTACTTAATTTAAAGGCACACTGTCCTACTTGTAGCTACTTGCTCCCTCTATATAGAAAACTTCCCCAATCAGTGCCTGTTGATCCCCCATGATCCTCTTTTTCTTATGTTAAATGAGAGCTGAGATAATGAGATAGCCACCTGTCACAGTGACCTCGTTGGGCGGTCTAATCCCTTCTGGCTTAAGTAGTAAAGCCTGCCTTTAAATGTTGTGTTTATATCATCTAGGTATTGGACCTTGAAGATGAGAAAGGAGATTGGGGTTTCAAGGCGCTCAAACAGATGATCAAGATTAATTTTCAGCTGGTAAGCACACACAAAATCCTGATGTGTTATTTTTTGTTACCAATTTGAGACGTTTTTTACAACTTATTGTCAAGATGAATTTTAGACACTTTTTAGGGCTGAATCTTTTATCTGGAAAAGAAAAAACATCTATTGCTCTTACCATATTGTGACTACCCAAACAATGTTAGATTAATTTTGATTCATAGCCAATTTTTTGGAGTTGCAATGTCTCTACTCTACTCATGGTTTGTGGTGAGAATGTGATATCACATGTGTTTTTTTTTTACTCTAAATACATGTAGCTATTTAACAAGCCAAAATGAATCATAAATAATTCATTCATAGGCAGTGATTAACATGAATGTTTCTTGTTTCAGCCTTTATATCAACTTATCAAAAATGAAAATCTGTAAAATTATAACACTTTGTTTTAAACAAACATCTGTTTAGAGTGATTTGATAGTTTTGTATTATGTAATGTTATATCTTTGTTGCTGTTGCAGGGAAACTATGGGGAAATGATGACAAAATACAAGTTACTATTAACATACATCAAGGTAAGAAAAAAAGAGAGGTTTAATCATTCTACTTATTGTATCCCCGGTAGTATGCTGGAGGATACTTTGGATTCAGCAGCAGCACGCCGTCGCCGCGTCCACCGCGTCATATTCTTGTGTGCGCTCTAACTGCCACATTCCTTTACAGATTTCTTTCAAATTTTGTGTGGAGGTGTATCTTGGTATAATCTTCTAGACTTATAATTTTTGGTGCTGCCCTCAGTGTTCTTTTTTGTATAGGGTAAACAGCCATATTTTTTTGATGGTTTGTCTGTGCTCTATAGTTCACATTTTTTTAAAGGTTTTTTTTCTTCAAATTTTGAACAAAGGTGTATGTTGGTAAAATCTATGCACCTATAGTTTTCGGTGATGCTGTCACCAGTGTCCTATAATTTATAGGGTCAAAGGTCATATTTTGCAGGATGGATTGAGTGCACTCTGCAGACCACATTTCTTGATGGTTGTTTTCCAAACTTTGTATAGAGGTGTATCTTGGTACATTCTATGTAATGTTTACTTTTTTGTGATGCAGCCCTCATTGTTCCATCCTTTATAGGGTTAAAAGCCATTTGTCCCTTTTGTGTGCTCTTACTGCTTGATGGATTTCTTTCAAATATTTTATGCAGGTGTGTCTTTGTAAAATCTACACATCTTAAGTGTTTGGTGATGCTTATCCTAGTCTTGACAATAGTCCGAGCCACTAGGGGCGATCTCTACATGTACGTCATCCTTATGTTTCAGGGAGGGGAGAGGGTATCTTTGTCCCTCCTTCGAACATAAGGATGACACAAAAATTGCTGCCAGTGCCGGGGGATACATTCGCATTGCGCGGTAACGAAGATTGCGATATTTCTAGTTTTCTCTGAAGTTTCACGTGGCATGTTTATTTTTCCCAATGTTCTTGGATGTTATATGTGTAAATACTCATTAAGGAATTGAATCGTGTCTGAAATGTTTTCATTATGCTCTTCTTTAAAGACCCTATCGGAAGAAAAAAAAATCAAATATATGAATTAATTATCAACAGGAAGCTTATAAAGCCATAGATTACAATAATATCAATTAAGTATGCTATTTTATTAACTGTCAGAGGAGTAACAGCTCTCTGAAAACTTTATATATCTAAAGCTTTGAAAATCAGAAGTTGTTGACCTAAAAACTAGCTATCATCTTGATGCCACCTTATGTGGAGTACCCATATTCACAATGACTTTGCATTAAAGGGAACCAAAACCTTCATGCTAAGTTACTTTTATTTTAAAGTTTAAAAGGTTTGAATAAAATCAGTGAAAATTTTAACAAAATCGGGCAAGGAATAAGGAAGTTAGAGCTTTTTGAAATGACTAGTCACTAGAGGGCGGTATTCAATTTGTTGTGGTCGAGTGGATACGTTGCCGGACTGTCGATCGCAAGGTCCGCGGTTCGAGTCCCGCCGCCGCACTAATGTTCTTTGGCAAGACATTGATTTACATTTGCCACACTCCACCCAGGTTAAGTAAATGGGTACCTGGTAGGAATTTATTCCTTGAAATGCTAGAGCGCCGTATGGCAGCCGTGCTAAAGCCAGGGTAATAATCCGGAGCGCCAGGAGGGTCAAATCTGACTGACATGAGCGCTATACAAGAACCCACTATTATTATTATTATTATTATCATCTGTGGACAACTCTCCATGCCTTTTGTACATAAAATTTCACAATTTTTTCCTATTCTTCGTATTTATTTGTGTTCTTGATCCGACTTCATAACATGTGAAGTAGAATATCATTTTGCATTCTATATCTTGCTTTCAGGGGAGTGGATTATCTCAATCACAAGAAAACGAAAAAATTGTGAAATTTTATGTACAAAAGGCATGGAGAGTTGTCTGATTTTATACCTTGCCCGATTTCGTTCAAATTTTCACTGATATTTTTTAAATATCTTAAACTTTACAATAAAAGTAACTTAGTATGAAGGTTTTGGTTCCCTTAAATTAAGCATGGCTCATCACCTCAGCTATATAAGTGAACCGGTAGGGTCCACATGTTATGTCGTCACCGTAGCTGGGGCAAATTTTACCCCTGTTGACCCGTAATTTGGAGGGATGCAGAAAATGAGGTTTTAATTTGCTATTGTGAAATGCCAAAAGGAAAAATAGTTTTTATTCCCCTATATTGGTATTCGATGTTCATTCAGCTTTCCATTGATATAGGCCAAATAACAAAAAAAATGTGTTTCCCGTCCAGACTTTTTACAAAAAGAAGGAGGCAGGGCATTACTATTTACTCTTATAGCTGGCCAAGCATATTTATTTACAGATATTGTGATATGTGAGTATACTGATGTAATATATGACAAAAACAAATGAATTGTATCACTTAAAGGTAATACAAAGTTTTGGGAAACTTTGAAAACTGGGTGGATAGTGATTCTTTACAATTTTGATATATTTGGATGCCCCTGTAGATGTATCATAAGCACTAGAAAAATTAGCCCCTGAAACACTTCTGCTTTCGAGAAATATTGAATATAAAAATTTACTGGTGCTCCCGGTAAATTTTGATAAATTTCAATGAGCGCCTACTGCCATACAATGGTAGCTGCGACCATGAAAATTTCAGAATAAGTAGATGTGATATATCATTTCCAACTGGGAATAGCTTATCGGTCGATTTTAATCAAGAAACATCGTTGTATAGCTTAATTAATATCTTGACCTTGAGAGGGAGCTATACAACATAACAAGTGTATTATTTACAATTTCATAACTTTAGACTCGATTTCAACTGCGACAACGATCAGTGAATATTGCTTCTAATATGTTCATTTGAACCAAATTCATGACCCCATACCAAAACTTTGTATTACCTTGAAGAAGCTATTTACCGTAAACAAAATGCATATCACAGGTTTTAGGGGGGGGGGGGCTTCTTTTTTTTCTGAAAAGTAAATATTTAAAAAAAGGAGGCGGCGGCCAAAAAGGAGATGGGCGGGGACAAGAAACACTTCATTTTTGTTACTTGGCCTAAAGTTTTATTTTGGGTAGGGTCTTAAAGGAGAAGGTTAAAAATTATTGAATTAAGTTTTCATTATTTTTATGTCATTGTGAAAGCTTAACAAAGAAAAATGTTGACTGAAAAGGATGGCTCATCAAATGCCCTCATACCGGTATTCAAAATATGACAAGTAACAGCTAAAGGTTGTGGACCGCAAATTTCATGCCACATGTTTGCGTAGCCCCATATACACACTTTTCTGTCTACAGTACATGTGACTCTTAGCAGGACCAAGCCAATTCCTTTTCATTTCTGATGATTCCAAACCTCACAGTATACACCAATACTTGTGTGCTACATGGTCAACCTCCAATTGCTTCCATTGCAAGTGCACGACCAAAACTCAAGTTTTTCTTAAATTCAAAGATATCAAGTTGAAAGTATCCAGGTAAATTGTCATGTGTACAACATCAAGCTTATATACATACAGTGCTAGTACTACATCTATCTAATACCCTTTCAAAATTTGTATGTTACCTCAGAGTGCAGTAACGAGAAACTACTCAGAGAAGTCCATCAATAGCATCTTAGACTACATCTCTACTTCCAAGAACATGCAACTGCTTCAAGAATTCTATGAGACTACTCTCATGGCTCTCAAGGATGCCAAAAATGACAGACTATGGTTCAAAACAAACACAAAGGTTAGTAAAAAAAAACTTACCTCATCTGTTCTGAATGCCACACACATGTTAGAGACATAAAGAGTTTAATTCGAGAACAGACCAACACAAATCTGTAAATAGCACCCCCTCCCCCCTCCCGAAAAAAGAAAAACAAATGTAGACCATTTATTTCTCATACCTGCCAACTACTATGATTTTGTCGTAATTATTACGATTTTTTGTTTTAAATTTCGCCTTTCAATTTTGTGTCACAAATTCACCTGGCACTGTCCAGGCCGACGCTTACCCGTGCCCGGGAGAGCATCGGCATGGTACCGTGGGTAAAAATGTTTCCCAGCTCAATCACTGTCAACTCACCACTCAGAAACTGGGACCAAATGTCCGGATTTATGTTTGGACTCAGAGCAAAATTAGTCTGTCATCTTTGGTTTTAAAAACAGCAATGTTTACTATTATTATTATTATTAAATCAGCGCCTTCAACTGCAACTCAAAGTAAAATAGCAGGAGTTTTCGGTGACGGACCTGGGATACCGTTGTATGGTAGTGGCATTTTTGTAAATGTTTTTTTATTTAAAAAAAAACATGGCGTCCGAGTATTTGAGTATTTGCCTGTAAGCCTGGGACCGCCTGGGACCACTACCGCAAATCTCCGAGTATAAGACGCACTTTTTTGCTGCCGAAAAAAAATGAAAGTCGGGGGTGTGTCTTATACACAGGTACAAAAAAAAAATATATATATATATATATTTTTTTTTTTGGTTAAGTTTTGATTTATGCCCCTCCACTTGGCACTATGTCTGGCAATATCTCCCAGCTCAGTAATCGGTATGTTGACTCACCACTCGGAAACTAGAATAACACTCAAATTTGTCTGTCATCTTGGTTTGAAGGTAATCTTTCTAACAGATCTCAATATGTAGTTTATCATAATAATTCATCCAATTTTCTTCTATTACACACGGTGTACCACAAGGTTCTATCCTAGGAACTCGACTGTTTTTAATTTACATTAATGATCTTACACATTCTTCTAAAAACGACATTGTTAATACTTTTTGTGACAAGTTCATAAGCACAAATCGGGGCCTTCAACTGCACGTCGCGGTTAAATGAAAGTCCTTCCCCACGTGGGTTTTTTAACACAGACATAAGACATAAGGCAAAAAAATAGGGGTGCGTCTTATACACAGAGATTTACGGTATGCACATCCCTTTATTTTTCTCCTCCAGGGTCTATTTCATCGGGAATTTTGAGCTTTTAGTCCTACCATCATATCATTACCCTGGCTTTAACCGAGCTATTATGAAAAGGTACACATGCATTTAAGGAATTTCTTCCTACCGGGTACCCATTTACCTCACTTGGGTGGAGTGCAGCAAATGTAGATCAGTATCTTGCCAAAACACATTAGTACTGCGACAGGACTTTATCTGCGAACCATGTGATCGACAGTCCAGTGACATATCCACTAGACCACGATACCTCTACATTAGTAAATTAATCAGTCATGTAATATTGGTATGCTCTATCTTTAAATTTATTATTCCTCCTTCTTTTTAGCTTGGAAAACTGTACTACGACAGAGAAGAATTCAATAAGTTGGCAAAGATCTTAAAACAGTTACATCAATCATGTAAAGTGAGTACCTCTCTTCTTAAGTCATTCAGCTGATCACAACTGACAACAATTTTCATGGGTGCCTTTTCAAGTGCACCCAAAATGTAATAATAATGATGATGATGATGATGATGATACTAATAACAACAACAGCAACAACACTTATTATAATGATATTAATGATAATGTTAATGATTATAATGATAATGATGATAATAATATGGTCTCTACGCTTGTTAGAACATCACTGTATTAGTGTCTCAAAAACTCGGATGACGCATTCAAGAACAATTGTGTTTTCAGCTTGGATTTAGATTGATCCAACCATGGACCTATTACGGATGGACATTCATCGTTATCTTAACAAATTCATTGTGATTGTCTCCGTAAATGTCGTCTCAATAACATTCCCACATGTTTCTTCACTTTGATCTCATCATGGTCACTGCCAAAAAGCCGGGACAGAATCAAGATAGTGATTTTACACATTTTAATCTACATGCGCAGAAGATAATAACTCGCCTAAATCATGGAAAATCGATGTGCAGTTCTGGCTTATAATTGGAAATTGTTGTACATGTATTTTATTTTGAAAAACATGTTGATATTACCATATAGAGGTTATTTTTTTATTTTTTGGTTGTGATTTAAAATCCAGTTTCCCCCTACTTCTTCATTATATTCCAGAGTTACAACGCACAGGGCTGATACAGATCATGGCCTTCTAATTGTTTATAAGGTCATAGGTGTGTGCGAAAGTTTGCGAATCAGTAATAATACATTTCATATCACCAAAATCATCTGCTTTTCAACTTTGCTGCTCCCCATTGGGGATGCTTTCATTTAAGACACACTCTTACAGAGCACATCATCCAAACAAAACCCAAGAGAGGGAAACTGCTCGCTGCACCTTTGTCATTTTTTGTCAATGACCGAAAATGCTTACGCAGTCGTTATAGTTAAAACAGCTGAATGTTCTCATTAAGATGCACATAATCAGAAGGCGGCGACTTATCATTGGATCAAAGAAAGAATCACGTTGAATGTCCATCCGTAATAGGTCCATGATCCAACTGAGTGATATTCCTTAGATTTTGTGGGAGTTCATTCCATTGTTCCGGTGCTATCTTTTAAAATGCCCTATCTCTATATGATTTTGTCTGCACAGAAATTGGAAAGAACAGATTTTTTTATTTGAACAGATATTGTGTTTGGGTGCGTACACTTGTTGATGAGTTTACAAAAATAAACAGGTGCAATACCATGTATACATCTGAACACCAGAACAAGTAGTTTATATTCAATTCTAGATGTTATAGGTTACCAGTGAAGTTCAGATAGGATAGTAAATACATGTTTGTATTTCCCTTTGGCTACAGTGAGTTATTATTATCTAATTGACTTGAAATGAAAGTATTTGTTGTTTTCTGGTCCAGAAATGTTCTCATTCTACCAACTTTATACATACCCATACATACCCAAATGAATTTCTTTGCAAGATGTTATATGTATGACCTCAGTTTTCATTGTATTCAATTTTACACTATTTTGATTTGACAATTTTTAAATTTCATTCAGACATAATTTTATTTTAGGGATTACTGTCTGTAGGACATTCCTTTTCTGAGAATATCCTGTATATTTGAGTGTCATCAGCATATACAATTTCACCAATATCGCGCTTTTCAATCAAGTCTTCAAACTGTGCTGTATTCATTATGAAGCTGAGCTGGCCCGTAACTGAACCTTGAGATACATCTTCATTTGGCTGATGAGTCCAGACAACACACTATACCCTTTTAGATCTATTTCTTAAGTATGTATCAAACCAGTTCAATACCACCCTGGCCGGACAGACAGACGAACCATAACAAGACAAGAGATGGGATGACATGGCTAGTATTGTCAAATGCAGAAGAATAACCAAGCATCATGAGTGATGTACCAAAGAGGTTTTTTTTTTTTAATCATCCAGGCATTGCCAAAACCAACTCTATCAAAATTTACATGAATCTAATTCTTTGAAGAAACATTTCATTGTCTCAATGATGTGTAGAACCAAGATGGAACAGATGATCTAAAAAAGGGCACCCAACTTTTAGAAATCTATGCACTTGAGATCCAGATGTACACATCACAGAAGAACAACAAAAAACTGAAAGCTCTGTATGAGCAATCTCTGCAAATCAAGTCAGCAATACCTCATCCACTCATCATGGGTGTTATCAGAGGTAGGTCAAATGTCGGAGTAATAAGCCACTGCAGAGATATCATTATAGGTCACTTGTACAAAACTGTAAAACCTGTTGAATCGAATGCTGGATTCGTGCTTATAAAAGTTGTGTAATCATTATTCATTTATGCACTGGCAGTTCATTCCATGATACACAGGTGGAAGTATTCTTTTCAAGATGGCAAACAAAAGGTACCAGAATTCATAAAACACCTTCATTACTTTGGCAGTGATTATCCTAAAGAGTACAAGTGGGACATATCCATACATGGATATTTGGGGGTCATCTGTACAAGTTCTATCTTCAAAGTGGCTCATTGTGTGTGGAAGGAAATTTAATTGGTAGTGTGCAAAATGCATTTTATTTCAGGTCTGTCTTTTTTTTTATTAAGCTTTTTGCTCTGGGAATTTGATCTGACACATGTTCCAATGCCATTTCATATGGGCTTTATTTTGTCCAAGAAGTAGGGTCAGGGTTGGGGTAGTGATTGGGTTATAGGTTAACTTAGGGCCAGGTAATTTCGGGTCCAGGAATGAAGGTAGGAATTTAGTTACGAACAGGAATTAAAGCATTTGTTGTCATGGTATGTGTGGTAAAATCAGGTTTTTCCATCTATTTATCTATTGACCCTTTCACCTGCAGAATGTGGTGGCAAGATGCATCTACGGGAGTGTGAATATGAGAAGGCACATACAGATTTCTTTGAGGCTTTCAAGAACTATGATGAATCAGGCAGTCCCAGGAGAACAACATGTCTCAAGTACTTGGTCTTAGCTAACATGCTCATGAAATCAGATATCAACCCATTTGAATCACAAGAGGTATGAACTTTTTAATTTGTCAATATTCAAGTACGGTTGGCTTTCTCGTAAGTGGTGCTTGTTTTCATTTGTACCAAATGGTGGTAGTGAAGATGATGATGATGATTATGATGATGATGATAATAATAATGATGATAATGACGATGATGAAGATGATGATAATGATAAAGATTGTGATGGTGATGATGATGATGATGATGATGATGTGGTGATGGTGATGGTGATGATTATTATGAGTATGATGGTGATGATAATGACGATGATGAAGATGATGGTGGTGGTAGTGGTGGTGAATGATGGAAGCTTCTTGTATAGTACTGGTATATGCCACCGCAGGGCACTTGTAGCATTTGCCCTGAAATATCCTGTTTGGAGCAAGAAGGGCATTGGCACTGTGTTAAAGTATGAATTAACCCTGTTTATGGCTCCAAACAGATGGTCCCAACTTAACAGTCAATGCATTAAGGCTAACAAAAATGAGATTAGCTCCCATGATTCTTCTTGGTAGTTATGATGATGTTACTGTAGAAAGCAGCTATGTCTGGAATGTGGATATACTAGGTTACAGAAACTCTTCTGATACATTACACAAAGCATTTACTTTCCAAATCTTTTCTCCATAGAAGTAGAAGACTCTGTCACCCCGAACTGTATCCCTAAGAATGCCAAGTCAATAAATCTGTCACATGTACATGTCTACTAAATGACACTGCACTTTGTAAATTCTGCAGGAGTAATAAAAAAAACCTCAGTCATATTTGTGGACATGCACATGAAATAATTGTGAATTCCATACCAGAAAGTATGTACATTGTAACCGGACTAAAATGTAGCTATCTGTATTTTCAATTCATTACTGAACCAAATGTCTTCTTGAGTTTTACATACATTTTACGCCATTGACTACCATATTAGAAGTATGATATTACTTGGTCAATTTTGAATAATACCTAATACTCATTTTACTTTTGTGTTATCTAATGCATGCAGGAATTTAATTATGATCATTAAAAATTGCTCTTGATTTTGTTAACAGGCTAAACCATACAAGAATGATCCTGAGATCCTAGCAATGACGAATCTAGTCAGTGCCTACCAGAATAACGACATCAATGAGTTTGAGAAGATCTTAAAGAACAACAGACGGAACATCATGGATGATCCATTTATAAGGGAACACATAGAAGGTAGCCATTAATATTATCACTCTTACTGGTTATATATCAGTTGCTCCAGAACTGCTCCGTTGAAAACTCCCTATGCTAACTAAATGCTTAACTTAACCCTTTACCAAATATTATATCTAAGCCTGAGTCTAAATTTTTCCCTGCTCAGGTCTCTGACTATGTCACAATCCACTGACCAAATTGTCAATATGAGATTCGCACAGACTTGAATAGTGATCTTATATTTCTAACATTTATAAATTTATTATTGTCAGTCCAATTCATTTCAAACTTTCGCCATTCTGTTTCTTATTTTCGTGCTTTCATACAAATGAAGTTATCACAAGACTTTTAAATAGCAGTACTCAGATCACAAGCTCATTCATCGTGCACACATGTGTTTGTGTTTACACAAGGGTGGTTTTGGGCTCACTTTGGGCTCACTTTGGGCTATTGAAAAGTCACATATTCTCTTTATTCTGCCAAAGCCTCCCTTAGTGTTCTGGATTTCCTATGGACAATGATGTGTAAAACTTATTGGTGTTATTTTCATGAATGTATGACATTCTTTATATAATTAATATCTGTTGAATCGATTGCTTACAGATCTGCTGAGGAACATCAGAACACAAGTCTTAATCAAACTCATCAAACCCTACACAAGAATCCATATTCCTTTCATTTCAAGAGTAAGTATACCATGTATTCAAAATTTTGAGTATCTTTTTTTCTATCTCGTAGCTTTTTATTTATTCTCTCTCTCTCTCTCTCTCTCTCTCTCTCTCTCTCTCTCTCTTTCTCCCCTCCCCCTTCCTCTCTCTCTCTCTCTCTCTCTCTCTCTCTCTCTCTCTAATTGATATATCAAGTAATACAATGTGTTCTTGTTGTTTTAGAAGAAATAAGCTTTGCATTTGTAAAAGCTCCATTTTGTGGTTAAATTGTTAAAATTACATCTGAAATTAATGATAATCATTTTCTTATCAAATTGAAACCTTGAATTATGACATTGTTTCATGTGATTAATTGCACAGCCCACTTAAATTGTCATCCAAATGTTACATTTGAAAATGCTTTATGCATTTAAAAAAAAATGTTCATTGATCAATATTGTTTTCTTTAACTGTTCAACCTTATTCCTCTTATTATATATGTAATGACTTTATTACATTTTATTGATGTGTAGAAACTTACGCAATACCAATATTTATTCTTTCTTTATATCTTATATTTGTACAGGAACTTAACATAGATGTAGCAGAAGTTGAAAGCTTACTAGTTCAGTGTATATTAGATAAGTAAGTATGTGTTGTTATTATCACATAAATTTAAACAGGTTTATGAATAAAGTTAATTATAACTGTATGAGTTCAGGTATGCATTGAAGGTTGTTCATCATGACTGCATTATGAACTGGATTTACTGTGGAATCTTCATATTATATGTAATTTTTTTAAACACTTGTTGGCACATTGAGTATATTTGGATTGCAGCATCTGAGGAGGGTTGATGTAGTGCATGCTTGAAGGTAATAGAGTGATTTATTGACAAATTCATCATCTTCTGATGAGATACCAGTCTATATACATGATTATCCCTGTTCCAAGAGTTATCATTAGTTTCTGTACTATTTTGCAACGTTATGCTGATTTATAAGTCAGTGTTTGTTTTGCAATTGTCTTTCACTTAACAAAATGAAGTAATTCTGAATAAGTCCACGAACTGAATAACAGATGGTACCCTGTTCCTTAAAATGTTTTCATTACTGGCACAAAAGTTTAGAGAGCAATGAGTTACTTTGAGAATTTTGTCTTGTTTTGACTCATGTGGAATTGCCTGATTTCATTCTCTTTTTAAGTCTGTAATATTATACATTCTTGATATTCCCTAATACAGGTACTTTCTCTTTTCATCCCATGACCTTTAACCCCTTAGTACAATATGCGGGAGGATAGACCAGGTCAACCAACTATTGGAATTAGATCAAAAATCAAAAGACACAGCACGTTATCATGCACTAGACAGGTGGACAGTACAACTAGCATCTCTACAACAGTCTGTGGGCAACAAGATGGCTTGACCTCAGTCTACAACAATCTTGCTTCAATTAAACTGTTGCGCTACAATTGTTGTAAATGTAGGACATGAGACATTGTGCTTCACTAAAAGTGCATCTGCTAAATAATCTTCTGAGAAGATTGACTGCATTATCAAAAGCCCCAAAACTGATCTCCTGGTGGAACTACTCAGAAATGTTATCTTCACTTTCTTCAGTGGGAACTCATGCACCCAACAGCAACAGTAATGTATTCCTATCGACCTGAAATCATTAGGGCAACAATCTTTCCCTGATGGTATCAATAGGCTTCTTTATTTAGGATGTGAGTGGTGAGTAATTTGGGACATAGATAAAGTTGGTAAATACAGCGTAAAGTGTGTGGCTGAAGTGCAGTCAATTTTTAGAGAAGATGTACCAGATCATTATTAGCACGCTCCTGGCCAATTCATGTGGAAAGACCATGGCCAACCTTATATGCTACTATTAATCAGAATTCCTGGATGAAATTATGCATATGGTCATGCTGTTTAGAATGTGAATATATCAAGTGCAGCTAAAACACTTCAGATTTCTACCAGTATATTTCTCACCCATTTATTCCCCATTTTTCTTTGATGTTTGATATTTTCCCTGATAATTGACAGTGCCTGATTTGATTTGAGCCCCTCTACCTTTCAGTTTTCATGCTGGGCTTTCTTAGCAATGAGCAAGGATACATTTGTACTTTGTATTTGTTTCCTGGTTCATTTTGTGTTTGGTATGTGTTAGAGAGAACTGCATGTAGGGTTGTGCTTAAAGTGCCATGCTTGACAAAATATATGACAGGGTTCCCACCCATAGTCATGAACAAAAAAATTCTCCTTGAAAGTCAAGGAAATATGAAGTAAAAAAAACTCTCACAAATTGTCTCAATCACAGACATGAAATACTATATATCAGTGTGTGGTATTCGTACGCAACTCCTACCAAAATGTTAATTATCTCATGGAAAAGGGCAAAAATAAGGTCATGGATAGTCATGGAATTTGGTTCTCACATTTTTGTGGGAACCTTGTATAAATACAGTTTTTCAGAAAGAGGTGAAAAATTAGCGACGTAAGGTATTCCAAATTCCCTTATTATTAAAAGTTAAGCACAATGTAGGCAAACTTTAAAAAATATTTAATCATTTTCTAAAATCTTGATACATATCTCAAGAGTTTGACACACCTAAACATTCTTTTGATAGCCTGAAATTGTGATAAATCAAATGATGACAACACCCTTCCTTACCCAACGATAATCGCAACTACATCTGGGCCTCTTGAAGAATTTTGAAACAAATATGAAACGGAGGTGTTGCTGAGTCATATGACAACTTATTTTATGTGCTTATTTTCAGTATCAAATGACTAAATTATACATTACGTAAACACCTCTATTTATTTTGCCAAACATGACAATGTTATTCAGTTAAGTTTGGGATTGCCATGTCCTGTGAAATTTTGTTCGGTTTGGCTACAGCACTGTTTACGATGTAACTTGTCATGGCCGGTTAGTTTTTTGTTAATATTTTGTAGTTATATCAGTCTCTGATACCAATATCTGCTAAGAGTAAATGCAAGTGAACATTTAGAGGTTGCAATCTTTGTGTACCGTAATAGCACTATTGGAAAAGACTCTGACTCGCATCATTAGTCCATTATATCTGCAAAGTTTATAATTGTGTTAATTCCTGCTATACATACACATTTTAGAGGTTATACTACATGAAATTTGATTTTTCTAATCAATGAATTATGATTTCCATTTCTTAGAAATGTTGACAAGCATTTGAGGGAAAATTAAAGACTTGTAATATTATCCAATAAAACATTAATGGGAAATACAGCCGTTTATATGAAATTGAAATTACAAGAATGAAAACTAAAAGCAAAATGCTTAGTTTTTTCAACTGTCAGTATCTTAGGAAGAAATGTACTATCATCTCCATTGATAAAATGAGCCATTTGTCTTCCTATGCATATTATAAGATAAATAACCATTACAAGGTGCTTGTATTTATGCTATCTCTCTTTCCTCTCCTTTTACAAATGAGGTGTTTTAAGGTTATTCTCTCAAAGATTTAATCAGTGAGATATATGCTAGATAAATGCCTGTTTTATGAATATCTGATTTATAGGGAATAATATGAGATAGCTCTTACAGGTACAAAGTTGTGATTGGTCCACATCACATGATATTGATTGCGAGGATCATAAATAGCATACTGCACTCCTGATCATTTGCGATGATAATATTGACCAATCGATCAAATGTGTATATTTTTTACTGGTACATATCCAAGCAATCCTGCATGCCCATTGTTTGCATTGTCTTAGCCATGCATTTGATGGGGAAGTTGGACTGCTCCAGAAAAAAAAAACAAGGCAAGAGAGATTGCAATTTCCCCTTGTTTCATACAACAAAGTGTAATCAAGAATATCTGATTAAGCATTAATATACATTTTTGACCGCAAGGGAGTTATATTTTCCCCCAGTGCTACTTGATACTTGATACTTGATGAGGTAATCCCTGAAGCAGCTTTTCCAAGCTTTACTGGTATGGGATGTGTTGTGACAGCAGGTGAAGGTGCAGACAACTAAAGGGTGTACAATTACTTTATACAGTAAAACAGTGACGTGCAAGTAAAAAAATCATGCTGCTATATGGTTTACAGCATTCTGGAACCTACAGGAGGTTCCAACCCTCTAATGACGGGGAGGGCGGTCATCTGGAAAGCAGCAACTGTTGGGGCAGTAACTGCAGTGACTGGTAGTTGATTCCAGATGCGGATGGTGCGGGGGTAAAATGAGTACTTGTAGGAGTCTATTGTTGCCTCAGGAACAGAGAGCTTGAGTGTGTGGTCTCTTCTGCTGATGTATGTAGCTTTGGTTATGAGGTGAGGAAGACAAATGTTGACTAGCTGGTGGTGTATTTTAAAGATACATCTGCGCACATCTTGAAAATATAGCCCCTTGGGAAACTATAACTCCCTTTTTCGGTCCAAAGAATGTTATATTACACACCCTACTAGTCAAAATCTGTATAATACAACGACAAGTGCATCCAATATCCCATAGTGATGACATTTTCAGAAAACGGGTGTCACTCAAAGAGCTTTCTTGCTTTATTATTTTATAAGTCTTTAACTTTTGAATTTTGGCATCTGCCTAAATCAAATTTTCAAATCTATGGCAAAGGGTTTAGGGAAAAAATCTCTAACAAATTTGAAATATGTTATAATATGCAGAAGTGGAAAATAAAATACCTGGGTATGAAGCATATTAAAAGTATCTGTAAATAGTGTGACAAACTTATATTGTTCTTTTGATACTTCTTTATGTGTGTGATTAAATCACCAATGTTGAAATTCAATATTATGTAAGAAATTAATAATATAATGTTTAAATGAGAGGTTATCCCCTTTAAAAATATTTAAGGCTAGAAAGATGATTATCATAAGAACTGTTTCAAGAGTCTAGGTAGTTAATTATATTTTTTGTCTGGCGACTTTCCATCAATGCATAAATCATATTCCTCATAATACAATGGAGTGAAGAGGCTATTACAGTTTGATTTGATTTATTGTTTTTGAGTAGATCTAGATTGGCCAGTTTACATTATAGTATGAATAGTGTTGTATTACTGTCTCCATCTGCTCATCTCTCTCTCTCTCTCTTTTGTTTCTTCTTTCTCTTTCTTCGTTTTTTTAGCACACCTGAGCCAAAGGCTGTACAGCACTTGAAATTGAGATTTTTAAAGTAAAATTCTCCCTCTAACAAATTTACCTGTATAGACATTCTCTGACATAAACAAATATTTCCATTTCAGAATCTCCTCAAATGTGTTTTGGAATGAGTTAATTAATGCAAGAGAAACATCATCCGCTAGGACCAGAATGGTATGAAATAAGTGTCAATGGATATATCACATATTCATAGTGCTACCTAGTAAAAGGGATTATTCACTTGTGATAATATGTTTAGTGTAAGAGGTTTTAAGGAAATTAATCTTTTCCTTATCTTCCCTACATGCACAAATACCTCCTCTTTTTTTTTTTTTTGGTTACATATAGTTGCTCTTAGTTTGATGGAGATCATCTGTGCAGACAAGGTGTATGAATGTCCATGTTGAGACGAGTGGAAAGGGTTTTATATGCAACACAGACAATGACCTTCACACAGTTTTCCAGGATAGAAGGTTTTGAAAAAGTACATTGCTCTTAAATTTTTGTTTGCCTTGTTTAGTGAAAACAAATTAAATTGTAAGAAATGGGAGAATTATAGCCTTATGTCATCTCACATGTGGGGAAGAATTGTAGGCAAAGTTAAAGATTTTGTCGATATGGATAGCCAAAGGTAGATGTTCAGACTCATGAAATCAGGTTTTGTTTATGTTGTGAAGTGCCCTCTTTTGTTTCAGAGTGTTGTGCTCGCATGTTGGGTCCGCCTTCATCAGATCTGATGCATATGCATGAAACCTTATAAGGAGTGTTCATGAATAATGCATTACCTTCTATTTTTATCAGGTATATAACGTGCATGTACAAACAATTATAATTTTTAAAAAGGCCAACTCTTTTCCCTGTATTGTTTGTTAATGAAAATAAGAGCTACATTTACTCTTACTTTTACTGATTTAGAACTCTGATAATCCTCCAGGTAATTACCTATGAAAACAAGCAAAGTGATTTGCTTTAGAGGAATGAGATGTGAGATAACTTGATGTATAACATTTGTAGGCTGGTGTGTATGGGTGTCATGCCAGTCTACTTGGCTAAAATAATAAGACATGAAGCTACAGAGAAATTAAAACTAATCTTGTATGCCAAGTGCAGTTTGAGTTTTTGTGATTTATTCAATTTATGTTAGATGGAAGAATGAATGGATTAATGCACAAATTAATTGATGAATGGATGGATAAATGAATTGATGGATACATGGATGAATGAATGGAAGGAGATGGATACATGGATGGATGTGTGAATGTATTGATAGGGAGATTGATGAATGGATGGATGGAGATGTGTGAATGAATGGATAGGAAGATTGATAAATGGATGATGAATGGATATGATGATGGATGATATGTGAATGAATGGATAGGAAGATTGATAAATGGATGGATAGATGTGTGAATGAGGATAGGAAGATTGATAAATGGATGGATAGATGTGTGAATGAACGGATAGGAAGATTGATAAATGGATGGATGGATATGTGAATGAATGGATAGGAAGATTGATAAATGGATGGATGGATATGTGAATGAATGGATAGGAAGATTGATAAATGGATGGATGGATATGTGAATGAATGGATAGGGATGGATGGATAGATGGATAGATGGATGTGATGGATAACGAGATGGATAGGGAGATGGGTGGATGGATATTGGATGGATAGGAGATGGGTGGATGGATAGGGTGATGGGTGGATGGATAGGGAGATGGGTGGATGGATAGGGTGGTGGATGGATGGATAGAGAGATGGGTGGAGGGATAGGGTGGTGGGTGGATGGATAGGGTGGTGGATGGATGGATAGGGAGATGGGTGGATGGATAGGGTGGTGGATGGAGGGATAGGGTGGTGGGTGGATGGATAAGGTGGTGGATGGATGGATAGGGAGATGGGTGGATGGATAGGGTGGTGGATGGATAGGGAGACGGGTGGATGGATAGGGTGGTGGATGGATGGATAGGGGAGGGATAGGGTGGTGGATGGATGGATAGGGAGATGGATGGATGGATAGGGTGGTGGATGGATGGATAGAGAGATGGGTGGAGGGATAGGGAGATGGGTGGATGGATAGGGTGATGGGTGGATGGATAGGGAGATGGGTGGATGGATAGGGTGGTGGATGGAGGGATAGGGTGGTGGGTGGATGGATAGGGTGGTGGATGGATGGATAGGGAGATGGGTGGATGGATAGGGTGGTGGATGGATGGATAGGGAGGTGGGTGGATGGATAGGGTGGTGGATGGATGGATAGGGAGATGGGTGGATGGATAGGGTGGTGGATGGATGGATAGGGAGATGGGTGGATGGATAGGGTGGTGGATGGATGGATAGGGTGGTGGATGGATGGATAGGGTGGTGGATGGATGGATAGGGTGATGGGTGGATGGATAGAGAGATGGGTGGAGGGATAGGGAGATGGGTGGATGGATAGGGTGATGGATGGATGGATAGGGAGATGGGTGGATGGATAGGGTGGTGGATGGAGGATAGGGAGATGGGTGGATGGATAGGGTGGTGGATGGATGGATAGGGAGATGGGTGGATGGATAGGGTGGTGGATGGATGGATAGGGAGATGGGTGGATGGATAGGGTGGTGGATGGATGGATAGGGTGGTGGGTGGATGGATAGGGTGGTGGATGGATGGATAGGGTGATGGGTGGATGGATAGGAGATGGGTGGAGGGATAGGGAGATGGGTGGATGGATAGGGTGATGGGTGGATGGATAGGGAGACGGGTGGATGGATAGGGATGGATGGGTGGATGGATAGGGTGGTGGATGGATGGATAGGGAGATGGGTGGATGGATAGGGTGGTGGATGGATGGATAGGGAGATGGGTGGATGGATAGGGTGGTGGATGGATGGATAGGGAGATGGGTGGATGGATAGGGAGATGGATGGATGGATAGGGAGATGGGTGGATGGATAGGGAGATGGGTGGAGGGATAGGGAGATGGGTGGAGGGATAGGGTTATGGATGGATGGAATAGATAGGGGGAAGGTGAAAGAATGGATAGGGAGCCGGATAAATAGATGGATGAATGGATGGATAATTATGTGAATGAATGGAGAAGTTGATGAATTGAAGAACGGATAAAATGATGAATGAAAAAGGAAATGGATGAAAAAATGAATAAGGAGATGGATTGATGATTGAACAGATGGAGAAATGAATGAGTTGATTGATAAATAAATATTACGGGAAAATTTGATGCATGAATTAAGGATTGATAAATGAACACAAAACATTCAAACTTTTCATCGGCTGGAACATTATATCCAATGAAGGTAGTTCAGAAATTGGAATAGTGTGAAAGCTTGTATAATTATCAGCAATGTAGATTGTTACTGAATCTTAATCCTTCGAGATTGAGGACAGCGAAATATTGAAAAGAAAGATAAAAATATCAACTTGAATTTAAATCATGATTAAAATAGTGTACTACTGCATCCCTAACGGAGACTGACATTTTATCCGTCATAGTGTTACTGTGTTGCGTGTTTGTTTAACCTTACAGTATGTCAATGCACATTATGTTGTGGATCACTCTTTGTCCTGAGGCGAGAATCTGGATACTATACATCACATTAATTCCAAAACATCATCTACTCTCCTTTATCTCAATGTCAAACTGCCCAAGTAGTGGTGTATTAATAAATCTGCTTTGTTAAGGTGGCACATAATCTTCCAAAGGGGGGGGGGGGGCAGAGTGAAATGTGAACCCTGGAAAGACCCGTGTGCTGTCTAACCACTGTAAGTTGTACTCATTTTGTTTTCCTTAAACTTCGAACTGAGAGGAGGAGGGGGCACCGGCTCCACCTGCTGGATACGCCACTGACGTACCTGCCCCGAACTTCAAATGTTTCTTCCCTCTGACATTTCCCTATGAAAATGCCCTCCGTTTTCCCCGTGGATGACATTTTGTTTTCCCGCTTTTCTCCGTGCAATGTTTACACTCCGATCTGTTCTTGTCGAAGCAGACGACAGTGCTATGTTCAAAAGAAGAACATACCGCGGGTAAGCACGTCTCATCTGTCAACCCTTCACCGTGTGATAATGGGCGTTACTATGCAAACTGTCCCCGTTGCCTTACACATTGGCTTTATGGATCCCGTTCTCTGCATATAACATTAAAAACATGAATTTAAACAAGTTATTCGTTTGTAGATAAATTAATGACGTGATTGTTTACTGAAAAAATCTTATATCATGATCAAGGTACTAGTAACTCAAGGTAACTCCTCTCACCATTGCCCACCCCCCTCAATTGGCGAAAAATGAAAGGGGGGTAGATGGAATGGATTGTGAAAAGAAGATATTGCAACCCCTCCTCACCCCCTTTTTTTCTTTTGTTAAAAGCCTTGTCAAATTACATTTCATCCACAACGTAAGAATGGGGCCCTTAATGACGTTCCACTGTTGAGTTAGGTTTTTCTGTCATCTTCCTAGGCTATAGTAGGCCTGTTTCTAAATATTTTGATGAAATTAATCGCAAAATCATAGCCGGAATAGATTTGACTGAGGCTTTTTTTTTAAATGTATTACAATGCAAATACAACAACTCCAATGGAGCATGCAACGATGGATGTGAAGAAAGTGAGCTACTTAAAGAGACCATTTGAGAGACTGCAGAATGGGTTCAATGAAGTTGAGTGGTGGATCTCTTCAGAGAGTATAGTGTTTATATTGCTTGTCGTAAGCTAGTAATGTCACCCATGCGTATAAACACCACGATGTTGAGAATCTTTACATTGGAGCACAGGTGCACCACCACAATAGCGATGATAGTAGCTGTAATAAATACCTGATTCAAATCATTCTTTAGTCTTCACCGTTCATTTCAATATCGTTTCCGTGTGTAGGTCAAGTCTATTTCACCCTATTTTCTAAATTTTCTATTTTCACCCTGAAAATTCTTCTCCGACATGACAGCCCCCCCCCCCCCCTCTCTCTCTCTCTCTCTCTCTCTCTCTCTCTCTCTCTATTTCTGCTTAATTCATTTCCATTCCAGGCTTTATTCCAAATAGTGGTGGGTTTTCCGTTAACAACACATAATTAACGTATTGCTATTGAAATTTGAACATCAAATCATGTCACATTGATCGATTATTTGCTTTATGTGTTTGTTTTGGCGGTTTTTGGTTGTTTTTATGTTTTTTTCTTCATATTTGCTAACGTGTGCTTTTAGGAGTACATGTTTTGAGTAAGTCGGCTACAAGAGACATATTTCGTAATTATAGTACACCATATTGCGCCATTTTTTATGTTGGAATTCGAATTTATTTTTCTTCTTCGACATTCGGAGATGTCACGGACAAATATTATCTTCATTGCCAGCAAGGGATGTAAACATTTTTTTTTTTACACAGTACCATTGGAAAGAGCAAACCCAGGCCTTTCATATGAGCTTAAGGTTTCATTTGACCTGGATTCTTCTTTAAATTATTTCCCCTTCAAGCAGATCTCGTATGATTCAACGACTTTTATCTCATATTTAAGAATTTAATTCATTAATTTAAATGATGCGTTTTGTGTTCTTTTTTCTCCCAGAAAATGCGCGTCTTTCCTGTCAAATGCATCATTTTCCCATCTCATTTCATCATGCTCTATTTTAACATTAAATATAAAGCATTATGCTCATTCACGCCTTGATCACTATTCTTTTAGATTGGCCGTACCTTTAAATGGATACTAGTCTTGTTTATACTATCAAAGCCGCTTAGCCAAGAACTGACATTGCGCTTAGACTGGGGCGTCTATCCTGGGGAGGGTGGCATTTGAACGTTTGCCCCCAAAGTGCGATATTTTTTTCTTCCACCCACGATGGGATGAAATCCCAGGTTCAGTAAAAGGAGCTCCTCTTCCACCATATTATGAATCCGATCAATGAATTAATGGCGCCATCCATCTCTCCCTCCCTCAATCGTTATCTCTCTCTCTCTCTCTCTCTCTCTCTCTCTCTCTAAAGATGAGAATCAGAGGAGAAAAAGGGACACGCGCCAAACAAAATCTCTGTAACTTCTTTAAAAACTTATCGTTTTTTTTTTGTGAACCCTCTCCCACGGTCACATAATCATAGATGCGCCATCGTCT